TTAACCGAGGGACCACTGTACATTATTACTTACTCAACTTATAAATAGATGTCAAATATAATGAACTTTAATTGGTTAAAATCTTTAAGCATTCATAAACTGGTCTTGCTCAATAAAGTCATATTTTGTTAAGATCTCCAAAAAAGAAAATCACAAAACTTTCCTCTGGATAGGACTTACTAGCTATAGCGTCATTTATGATTTTGACAAACTTCTCCCATAGTTCTTCTGGATTCATCTCCACACATTCTGGGGATGGGTATAATAGGGTCACCTGAAAAGAAATTACACAGTTTTAGCTATATTGGACAGTACAATACAGGTACCTGTATACAATTAATTTGATTTGAAATATTAGTCAATTCTGGGAAGCTTAAGGGGACAACCCGGCTGTTATAAAGAGTGGTGCACTATATTTATGCAATTGTTTTCATATTTCAGATATTACATACTCATAATAACATAATGACTATCACCATGTGCCCCTTTCCTCCTATGCCTCCCCCAACTCCCTGATCCATTTTCAGAAAAAGCCCTGGGTAAAGTTGTTTCGGCACTTTCTGTTAATTTTTGGTAACAATTTAATTCTCAATGATTTGATCTCATGAATGCAAAAATGCCTGTTACCTTATCAAGCTGAAATTAGAGTTTTAAGCCCTCCAAGTACACAAAAACTAAATGGCTGCAGAGTGTTCTCATATCTTCCATAAAATCTATTTTAAATGGAATAAATTAATGATCCTACAATATTTTTATGCACGGGTATTTCTTGGGTTAAGGAATTTCGCCCTTACGGAATTTACAAATTAAGACACTAATTTCGGAATACGGAAAAAAATTCATTTATACAGTCGGCCCTTAACATATGCGGGGGTTAGGTAACAGAGATACCCGTGAATGTTAAAAATCCGTGTACTTTTGCTGCCCCCCCCTAAAAAACCCCTGGCCCCCCATGTCCTTATTTACCGCATATACCTGTGTGTAGTTCGAGTTTTTAAGACCAAATTATTTGGCAAAAAATTGGGGGTCAACCTTTAAACGGGTAATAGTTTTGTTAGGTTGAAAAATATTTACCCGTAACTACCAGTAAACAATGGAAACGATGAACCAACGCACCACCAGCTGTGAGTGTCGGCACAGTCGCCAGGGCAGATCTCATGCGTCATCATAGCAAGCCCAAAGTAGCCAAATGCATGGTATGGTATGCACAGGACGATGTTAAACATAAAGTATTCATTTTTTAAAGTATTTATAGATACTGTACATAAATTTTTGTTCATTACATTTGAAACATCAATCTTTGTTAATTAAATTTGTAACAAAAGAAAACTACGATACCGTATTTTCATTAAAATATTACTTCGCAAGTATATTTTACCTTAACGACTGAATGCATATATTCTCAGAAATAAATATGCAAATGTAATATTTTTGCTGAAATTACATATGTATTACAGTGTAAAGTGGGATAAAATCATGATGAAAACAATGACTTTCGCTTTCTTTCGTTGTTCAAAAGATTTTACCGTAATCGCTTTTCGAATGGTTTTCAGTTAAAAAACTGTTGTACTGTACTGTATTACAATAATATTCTATCCTATCATTAGCCTCATAATCCCACAACTAAAAACCATTCGAAAAGCGATTACGGTAAAATCTTTTGTGAACGAAAGAAAGCGAAAGTCATTGCTTTTGTCACAATTTTATCCCACTTTCCACTGTAATACGTACATCATTTCAGCAAAAATATTACACTTCCATATTCTCAGAAATAAATATTAGTTTTATTTAAAAGTAATGCACAGTATTTAATATTAAAAGGCAAAACAAGCTATAAAAACAATTAATACTGTACACCCGTAATGTACTGGCTGGCATCTCCACTCGTCCCTGCTCCCGCCTCCAGCATCACCACTCCTCCCCGCTCTATCCCTCCGCCTCCTCCACATCGTCACTACTGTTGTATTACAATAATATTCTATCCTAATTCACTTGAATAAATACTACGATACCATATTTCTGAATATTTTCATTCAAATCCATCAAAATCATTTTCCTTGTCATCGTCTTCAACACCAAACAGCTCCTCCCAGTCTTCTCCTTGAACAGGGCTAGAGGGTACGTGTTTTTCGAATCGTTTTCAGTTAAAAAAATGTTACATCACATGTATATTTTACCTAAACTGCGCCTGAATGAATATATTCTCAGAAATAAATAGTAGTTTTGCTGAAACGTGATGTATTTCAATGTAAAATAGGATAAAATACATGACGAAAACAAAAGACTTTACCTAACCTTCCGATGTTCAAGAGATGTTACTCGTTTTTTTAATCGTTTTCGGTTAAAATACTGTTATATTACAATGATATTCTATTCATTCTGTGCTTGATATACTACATTCACGGAAATGTAATATTTTTGCTGAAATGACGTACGTATTACAGTGGAAAGTGGGATAAAATCGTGACGAAAACAATGACTTTCGCTTTCTTTCGTTCAAAGGATGTTACCGTAATCGCTTTTCGAATGGTTTTCAGTTGTGGGATTATGAGGCTAATGATAGGATAGAATATTATTGTACAGTGGTCCCTCGGTTAACGAGCACAATCCGTTCTAGAAGGTTGGTCGTTAACCGAAAAACTCGTAAACCGAAACCATTGTTTCAATGGGTTTTTGGGTAATTGGTTTCAGCTCACCGAAAATTGCCTAAATTCAACAAAAAAGGTAGAAAAGTACACTTACTTTGAGGTGTGTATGTAGAAGGCTCCTGGATGATGATGATGGGAATTAGAATGGGGGTGGAGAAGGGAGAAGAGAAGGCATTGGGGTGGAAGAGAAGTCACCCCATGGCACCATTTCACCCATAAAATTTTAGTTCTCTTGGTGCAATTCAAGAATATTTTCTTTAAATCAACACTGCACTGCATTATATATTGTCAATATGTAAAATAATTTCAAAATGACCAATAATTTGCTTGCAAAAACAGAAAAAAAGCATTTAGTTGAAGAGAGTCTCAAGCAAGATGTTACCTCCACTGAAAAGACACAAAGACTGACGCCTGTATGGTGTGTTGAGAGGCTGGATGGCACGCATAAAACTAGTTTCATTACCTTCAATTATGTTCAATAATTGTTAAAATGAGTAAAAAATTTAATATTAAACTTTTAAAATTATTGAATAGTATAAACTTCTTGATATTTGCTAAAATGGTAAGGAATTTAAGCCCTAGAACCGATTACTGTATTGGCGGACTAATACTACAGCTGGTGGACCGCCAAATGCAAGCGAAATCATGTTCAGGTTGGCTCGTAAGAAACTCGTTAATCGAGGGATTGCTCGTTAACCGAAGTTAAGAATCTTATGGAACGTAACTCCTTAACCGAAATCTCGTTAACCGAGGCGCTCGTTAACCGAGGGACCACTGTAATACAACAGTTATTAACTGAAAACCATTCAAAAGCGATTACGGTAACATCTTTTGAACGAAAGAAAGCGAAAGTCATTGCTTTCGTCACTTTACACTGTAATACGTACGTCATTTCAGCAAAAATATTACATTTCCATATTCTCAGAAATAAATAGTAGTTTTGCTGAAACGTAATGTATTTCAATGTAAATTAGGATAAACTACATGAAAACAAAAGATATTACCTAACCTTCCGATGTTCAAGATATGTTACTCGTTTTTTTAATAGTTTTCGGTTAAAATACTGTTATATTAGTGATATTCTATTCATACTGTGCTTGATATAATACATTCACGGAAATGTAATATTTTTGCAACTACAATGCTGATGTCAACTCAAGCGTGGTTACAGCGAGATTGACTGAGTAAGGGAGAGCTATGCATGTGTGTGTGAGGTTGCGGTTGCGGGCGGTGTCCCGTGTTCTGTGCCGCGCGCGAGTTGAATGGGGCGCAATTTGAATGTATTTCAATTACTTCAATGTACAGAATATTCCTCTTGCGGGGCAATCCGCATATTTGCAAATCCGCGTATGCTAAACCCGCGTATGTTAAGGGCCGACTGTACAGTATTTATTTTTACCCACAATAAGGCATACAGGACAAATTACGTACCAGTAATACCACATTAAGCAAAAACAACATTTTTAAAGATCAGAATCACATTGAAAAATTACACGACCGTCAACTGAGGCGGGAAATATGACTTATTTCCCGCCTCTGCTGACGGTCGTGTAATATTTCAATGTGATCCTGATCTATAAAAATGTTGTTTTTGCATAATGTAGTATTTCTGGTACGTAATTTGTCTTAGTATGCCTTATTGTGGGTAAAAATAAGTACTGTATATATTAAATGCATCCTCCGAAAACGTGAATTTGCTACCAGAGTTTAACAGTTAATTCATGTACACCTAAACCCCGACTTACGACTATACGGACTTACGTCCAATGGTACTTACGACCTGCTTTGACCGTACGTCCATACGGGACATACGACTGCGACCGCCGTGACCAAAATTTTTTTCAAATGACGCGCGCATTTTCTATACCGAAACGTTTCCGTCCCGGGCGAGACGGAGGGGTGTCTTGGGTCGCCTCGTGGCTGCACTCACTCAGTGGAGCGCG